CCGGTCCCCGCGCTCGGACAGCTCAGCGCGGGACACGTTGCCCGAGCCCGGGCGATCGGCTGGGCCGCGCCCTCCGGAGCCGGCGGGTTTTGGCTGCGGGGCTGGGCGGGAGTGGGGAGAAGCCACAAGGGCTCCGGGCGGGCGAGAGCTCCCCGTACCCCTGCCCTGCCCTGGCCGCCAGTGACGCTTCCTCCCCTCGCAGGTGAAGATCTGGTTCCAGAACAAGCGCTCCAAATTCAAGAAGCTGATGAAGCAGGGAGGGGCGGCCTTGGAGAGCAGCGCCCTGGCCAACGGCAGGGCTCTGTCGGCCAGCTCGCCCCCGGTGCCCCCGGTGTGGAACACCAGCTCGGCCTCGGGTAAGGCCTCCACGGGCACCCCGGGCACCTACATCCCCAGCTACACGTCCTGGTACCCGTCCGCCCACCAAGAAGCCATGCAGCAACCTCAGCTGATGTGAGCACCGCCGGGTTCCCCAGCGCACGCACAACTGTTGGTCCAGGAACAAAAAACAAAACCCATTCACAAACAAAGGAAAGAAAGACAAAGGCAAAGCGAGAGAGGGGGGACAGGGAAACAAACACACCCGAGCTCTCTTCCCAGAGAGCCATTGACTCGCTGTACTCGAGCGCGGGGCAGACAAGCACAGATGCGATGCGGGGCTGGTTCCCAACTGCTGACAGCTGACAGAGCAGCCGCCGGGCTCCATTAGATCAGCCGGAGAACAGCCCGGGAGCAGAGCGGATCCCCGACCTCGGCTTTGTGGGACAATCACAACAAACATGTTTGTAGGGAACAAAAAAAAAAAGCTCTCCTCTGTCCTGTGTGTCTGTCTGTGTCTGATGAAATGTAGGTCCCCCACTCCTCCGGCCTCCTTATAGCAGGGGAAAACAACCCGTACTATCGCCAGAGATTTTTTTTCCCCCTTGACATTTTCCTGTAATTTTCACTATTCATCTGTGTAAATTTTTTTGTTGTTGTTAAAGGGGAAGAAGGGGATTTTATTTATTGACTTAAATTACCACTATCAGAGTGCTAGGAACAACCTGGACTGTCTGGTTCGCAGAGTGCACTGTTTCAACGCACATTTTACTTTAAAGACAGAAACAAACACACACACACACACACACACACACACACACACACACACACACACACACACACACGCGAACCCCAACAAAAAGAAGGATGCGATTTTTAACTTTTACAATCACTTTTCTACTTTGCCGGCGCGGAGAGGTCTGGTCCGAGTGGTTGGCGTTTTCACACATCCGCTGTGACTTAACAAAGACGAGAGATGCCCAGTGTTGAGTCTGGAGGCGGGATGGCGGCGGCTCCTGCGCGCTGCCCTTCGTGTAAAGCAGAAACGAAACAGAACACGACAAGGAAACAACCTCTCGTTCCCTGTTCTCAGCAAGTGGAAAGGGGTGGCAGGGAAAGAAGAGAGGCCAGATGTCTCTAACGTGGCACAACGCAGCTTTAAACGAAATCCCAAGAGGCTTTACCACGCAGATCTCACCCTGGAGTGGACGTGCACATAGCCAAGTGCAGGATCGGATCGCTGTACATATTTTATTCTTAATTATTATTATTATTATTATTATTATTATTGTTCTGTAAACATGTTGCACAAATTTAGCCTTTTTTTCCGTTCCGTTTCGTGTGGCTGTAAAACCTGATGCTTTGTGAACTGAGATCTTGACATTTTACTTGTGAAATTCGGAAGATGTGATAAACTGAGCTCAGCTGTGTTTAGTGTCTATATGTCAAAGTTTAGTTTTATATTGAGAATGTTAACTTATTGCTTTGTACGGGGGGACGCCCCGCCACTCTTTGTACATAAGTTCGAAAGTTTCTTTGAGACAGTAAAATTATGGTTTGGAACAAGAGCCGCCGCGTGTGCTGTTTGTGCCCGGGAGCAGGCGCCCCCCGCCAGGGCACCGCGCCCTGTGCCGCGCTCCTCCCGGCCGGGCCTTTTGCTGGGGCGGTCCCGGGAGAGGGTCCCCCGAGGGGCCACGTCTCCCCGGCCGGGCTCCGGCGGCGCTCGCCGGGCATCGCGATGCCCCAGGAGAGAGCTCGCTTCCCTGCCTGCCCAGCCCCGG